ACAATGACCAAGTTCAACATATAGAAATCAATAAATGTAACACAGTACATATGTATACTCGAGAACAAAAATTACACGATCTTCTTAATAGATATCAAAGACCTTTGAGAAAGTTCATGAATGAAATAGTTCTTCACGAGGAAATTAGGAATTGAAGGCTTATAGCACAATTTAATAAAAGGGTCTATATGGAAAACCAACAGCCAACATCATGCTGTATAAGGAGGAACAGAAAGGATTTTCCCCACCAAAATCAGGAGTGAGGCATGGGTTACTGTTCTCATCACTCTTATTCAACCAAGCACTTGAAGTCATGTGGAGAAATAAGAAAGAAATAAAAGGGATACAGATAGGAAATAATAAACTCAAATTAGCCATATGTGCAGATGAAATGGCCATATATTTAAAGGCCCTAAAGATTCTACCAGAAAACTCTTAGATCTGAGAAACATTTTTTGCAAAGTAGTAGACACAAAATCAACATACAAAAATGAGCAACTTTTCTCCATACCAAGAATGCATTTGTCAAGAAAACAAAACAAAACAAAACAAAACAAAGCAAAACAAAACTGGAAAGAAGCCCATTCATAATAACTTTAAAATGCCTACATAAAATAATATTGAATCATTCAAAATTACTAGTGATAAAACTAATCAAGGAACAGAGAGACATCTACAATGAAAATTTTAAGACACAGAAAAAGAAATTGAACAAGGTACTAGAGATTAAAAAAAAAAATCTCCCGCACTTATGGGAAAATTGGAAAAGTTAACATTGTTATCTTGGCTATATTACCAAAACTGATCTATAGATTCCACATAATGGCCATAAAATTTCAGTGCTGTCCTTCATGGAAATAGAGAAAAAAGCACAAAAACTAATATGAAACACAAAAGACCCCAAATAGACAAAGCAATCCTTATCAGAAAGAGCCATCATGGAGGCATCACAAAACCTGATTTCAAATTACCCTATGGTGACAAAAGCAGCATTTAATGAGTACTGTAGCGTGTGGCACAGTGGGGTAGAACAGAGGAGACTGATACAAACACAACCAAGCCAACTAAACCTTTAACAAATGTGTCAAAAAATATACACTGGACGAAAAGCGGCATCTTCAAAAAACAGTTCTGGCAAAACTAGATTTTTCACAAGTAGAAGAAGGAACTAGATCCATATTCTTCACCTTGAATCAACAGAATCAACAGAATCAACAGAAAACTGACCAAAGACCATAATTAGGGGCACTGGAACCCTGGCTGCTGGAGAAAACCGTTTCTAGATACAGGCGTAAACAAGGACTGTCTGACAGATCCCACAGGACCACGAGAAAGATCCCAGGAACAGATAAATAGGATTGCATGACCATAAACAGCTTCTGTGCAGAAAGCGCTCGTAGGGAAGGACATGATCCAGCAGGAGGGTGGGGATGGAGGACAGGCAAGAGGGAGGATGGAGAAGAGCACACATGTATTAAAAAAAATTCACCTCAAATTCTATTAATCCATATGTTAACTAAAAATCAAGAAAGATAAAAACAGAATTATCATATGATCCAGCAACTCTGCTTCTGGTTATATATTCAAAAGAAGTAAATGTCCACATTTAAATAGATACATGTACGCCCACAGAAATATTATTCACCATAATAGCCAGAAGGCCGAATGAAGTGTCTGCTGACAGAGGAATTGTCAGGTGGTGTGTAAAATGGACACAACATCACCTTAGTACTGACATAGGCTAGGACAGCAGGGAAAACCCAAGACATTATGCTAAGTGAAATTTGTCTGTTGCCAAAGGGCAAACACCATACAAGGTCCCGAAAGAGTCAAAATCACAGAACAGTGATCGCCAAGAATTGTCAGGGGAGGGGCTGGAGCTATTGTCCAGTTTCAGACTAGGGAGATGAAAAGATGTGGAAATGGATGGTATATGTAGATGAGTTTTAACTCCGAACCTGGCTGCCCTGGAAAGAGATCAAATCCGAAGAACTTCCAGGCCTGTGTGATCTGGCTGGAATACAAATAAGCCTTTAATCTCAGAGGACAGATCACTGAGTTCAAGGCCAGCCTGGTATGAAGCAAGTTTCAGGTAAAGAAAGGCTTAGGTCCAGGTGTGGTGGTACACACCTTTAATCTCAGACTCAGGAGAAAGAGGCATGAAGATTGCTGAGTTCTAGTCAGTGCTGTTCAGGCAGTCCGTTGAATCAGTGAGTTTATAGGCTGTGCAGTGGAGTTGAGTTCTTGGCAGTTCAGTTCGTGGAAAACAGAGGTAGTTTTTACTGGGAGAGTTTTACAGAGAGGTTAAAGAGAGAATACGCTAAGACACAGGCGAATACAGAATGAGCCAGAGAATGAGAAGGAGCCAGAAGATTAGAACAGATTGCTAGAGTTAGTTTGAGGCCAAGCAGAGCAATTCAGTCCAAAGCTGAGAGAAGCCAGATTGAATCAGTCAGCTTAGAAAGGAGTTGGAGCCAGAATAGCTGAGTTGAATCAGTCAGCAAGAGTTCAGAAAAAAAAAAAAAACAAAAAAACAAAACAAAAAAACAAAACAAAACAAGAAAGAACGAATTTATTCAGCAGTGAGTCTCAGAGGCTGAAAGGATTCTAGACCTTGATTAGACTGTATGGAGTCTAGAAGCTTCCAGGACTAGGCCTAGGTTAGCAGACAGTAAGCCTCTTGAGAGGACAGCCACCTCCGGCCAATAAAAGTTACTTTTTGCTTTGTTTTGTTTTGTTTTTCTAGACAGGGTTTCTTCATGTAGCGTTGGCTGTCCTAGACTCACTTTGCAGACCAGGCTGGTTTCGAACTCACAGAGATCTGCCTGCCTCTGTCTCCCCGAGTGCTGGGATAACAGGCGTGCGCCACTGTGCCCGGCAAAAGCTGCCTGTACAGGTGGGATGGCAGCCCTGAACTGTATTCTCAAATGGTTACCATGGCAAATGTTACTCGTTTGTATTTTATCACAATAGCAATAACAACATAAAGAGATGGCGATAATGGCCTGTTTTCAAGAAACCAGGAATGGCCTTCATGAGCAGATCTGGGAGAACAGGGGATTGCAGACTCCCTGCAGAGACTTCTGTGTGTTTACGGTAGGCAGATCTTGACCCCCCGGAGAACAGGGGCGATTAGGTCATCTCTGGAGAGACAGTGGCGTAGAAATGACTGGTCTGACCAAAAGTGGCAGCTACAGCTGCTGGAGGAGGAAAACATTCCGGGCTTTGCCCCGTTGGTAGCAGGATTAAGCATCTCTGGAGAGTGAGGTAACGCACATCTTACTTTCCACTTACTTGAGACATTTAGGAAGAACAACCAAACTTTAAAACCAAAATCCAAACCCGCCTGCCTAATTGAGAACAGAAGCAGGGGATTTTAAAGCCGGTTTTCCACAGGGTGTGTGCCGTTGCCTGTTCCCAGCCACGGGCAGAAGGAGGGGGTAAAGGATGAAGAGGGCAGCGACTACAGAGAAGGTTAACTTCAGGCAGAAGGGAGACCCTGACAGGGCTAACGCCGTTGTCCTGAAGATTCAGAGCCAAGATTCAGAGTTTGTGCTCTGGAGCCGTCGGGCCCCGGTTCTGCCGTAGGTAGCATGGGTTCTTCTAGACCTTATCCTTTGAAAGCTTGGCCTCTCCACTGATTGAAGGAAAGCATTCCCAGGCCACAGAATTTTTACTGGGAGAAAAGGAAATAATCACCAACCCCTGAGCTTCAGAACAGAAGTTATGTTATTATGTTATAGCAGTTATGTTATTATGGGCTGCAGCAGGCAGAGAGGGATTTCTCCGGACACTCTATACACACCAGACTCCACTAGCTAGCAGGGTCCTGATAAACTCTGGACTCAAATTCAAACAGTGCTTACACCAGTGAGGGTCATGTGATAGTCTCCCTTCTAAAGGCTGGGCGTGGCAGAGCACAGCTGACCCCAGCACTGTCTGAGGCCAAGGCAAGAGAACCCTGTCTTGAAAGAGGAGGGAAGAGTCTAGAGACTTTTAAAAGCCTACTTTCCAGCAGCGTTTAAACGGGGTTCCTTATGTCTCCAGCAACCCTTGTCACCACTAGTCAAACAGCTGAGCAAATCTGCCTCTCAGCATCAATAAGTGGAAAAGGGACGGGGTAGGGGCAGGGGGAAGCTCTGGCTTGAGGGTGTTCCCCGAAGCCCATGTGTTGGATGGAAACCTAGCTCCCAAGTCCCGTGGTTTGTGGTATCTTTAGGTGGGCATCTCTGGAAGTACTCAGGACTGGATGAGGTCATTAGGGTGGTGCCCCAGGATGACGTCAATGGCCTTGTAATAAGAAGAGAACTCAGCCGCCATACTGGCTTTCTCTCTTTCTGGAATGCTCTTTCCCCAAGGAGCTCACCTGATGCTGAAAAGCTGTCCCCTTATCTAGAACCTTCATAGAACTGTGACATTCAGTTGCAACAACAGAAAATGCCCTGGGCTGAGAAGCGTGGGAGGAGACAGTGAGGGCACTCGCGAGTATTTGTTGCTTCTCCTGGTCTTGCGTTACAGCACTAGAAGCAGGGGCCAGAGAAGCTGAGCTGTAAAGCCCTAGATGAAGCTGGAGAGAGCACTCAGGAAGGAAAAGGGGCTGCTGTCTACTCAGCTTGGGGGAAGACTTTGAGATCTGTATTTTCTCAAAAGCCCAAAGGTAGCTGCAACCTGCCAAATGCCATTATTTCCTTCAGTTCCTGTTTGAGGCACGGAGAGTGGATACGAGGAGGGTTTATCTGTTCACATTAGAGTTGGTGAAAGGAAAGCTCAGGGAAAGAGTCTCTGAAGGCTGTGAGCACACGCTGACCCTGCTTTTCCTGCTTTTCTTTTCTTTCTTTCTTTTTTTTTTTTTTTTGTAGAGCATCCAGAGTGAACCTGATGTGGCCTGTGGAAGCCCAGAGTGCCACTGCCAGGAACATCAGGTCCTGGCACATCGTTTTAAGGAAAAGGAAAGGCCAGGCTTGGACCATGCCATACACATCTGTCCCGCTCACACCTACTTGACTTGCCGTCCAGTCCTGCTGACCTCAGAGGGCTGCCGGGCATCACAGGAGCCTGGCATCATGGGTTGGATGGGCTGGCTCAGCAGCAGCCTTGGAGCGGAGAGAGAGAACGGGACGTTATTGCCAGCACTTGTGAGGGTCAGCTTTCACTGTCACCTTGATACAATCTAAAATCAGCTGGGGAGACAGTCTCAGTGAGGCACTGTCTGTACTGAGCTGGCCTGTGGGTGTCTTAATCGCTGTGGGCAGGGCCAGCCCATGGTGGGCGATGCCATTCTCTAGGCTCTTGAAATTGTAAGAGTGGATTTAACAAGCTGTGCACAGACAAGTGAGTGAGCTTGTGTGCATCCATCTCTCTGTGCTTGACAGTGATGTGACTCCATGCTTTTAGTTCCTGCCTTGACTTTCCCACAACAATGGACTGTAACCTGGAACTGTAAGTGGAATAAAACTCCTTTCTCACCCAAGTTCCGTTTTGTTGGAGTATTTTAGTACAGAAATGAAACTAGAACAGTACCCAAATTGTGTCCCCACCCATGGTAGTACTGGACATCTGCGACGGGTCATGTCCCTGGCCCTCAGGACCCCAAGGTCTTCCCTGCTGTCTCTGTAGCTGAGATCAACCGGGAATCCTTGGAAGTTTGCTGTGCAGAAAGGAGAGATGAAGGAAAAGCACCAACGACCCCTTCCTGTCCTCTCAAAAGTGTGGCTTCATACCTGAGCTGCCGATCGTGGCCGAAGTCAGGGCTGGGCTGGCACTGGCTGGCATCCTGGGGGGTGGGAGCCACCGTGGTGAGGCTCAGGCCGGGCGGGAGCGCCGCTGCCGAGCTGCTGAACGCCGATGGCAGGCTGCTCCCCGGGCGACCGCTGGCGGGCAGCAGCTGGGAGCTTCTTATGGGCTTTGGACCCTGGAACATCATTTAACAGGAGAGAGAAAGATGATCAACTCAGGCCACCTCTCCAAGAAACCTCACGGGACTCCCATCTGCTGACTCTGGCCTCCTCTATTACATTAGGACCTACCAACTGGCGAATGGTTTTTATTTTTTATTATCTTCCCCACTGGATTGGAAGCAGCTTGAAGATTCTTGAATCTCATGGGCAGTGCCAGGCCCTCGGCAGAACTGAACCATTGAACTGATTTTTTTGTTTTTTGTTTTTTTGTTTTTTTTTCTTACAAATTTTACTTTTCTCTTCCTCCCTGGGCCTATGCTGGCCTCAGGGCCTTTGCACATGCTGATCCATCGCTGTGACATGTTCTTCTACTTGATGCTGATACAGCGGCCTCTTAGCCCCCAGGGTCCAAAGCCCACAGGCTTTGCTGAGATACAGTCCTCTCAGGACGTCTCTTCTGATCATCTATTTAAATCTTAACTCATCTCCTGCCATCCTCCGCCATCCTCTGACCTGCACCCACTTTTCTCTGTTCTCCCCGCTGGAACTGAAGGTTTTCTTTCTCACTCATGGCTGACGCGGTGCTGGTCTCGCAGTGAGCCTTCAGGAAATATCTGCTGACTCAAATGAGTGAGCAAGGCGTGGCCTGGGCCTGATTTTCTGTCTGTGACTCTGACTGGCCATTCCTATGATGATACTTCAAGGCTTTAGATCTTAGTTTTCACAACATCTTCTAGCATCTGTGTAAATTCTTTCTCAGCATCTGCTTTTCCAAAGCCCCCCATTGGCTATTCTCAGCCATTGGTTGCTTGTTTTGTTTTGATGACCCGGTCAAATTAAAAGGCTGCGTTTTTAGGCAAAACGTTTAATGTGTATAAGATGGACTAAGCTCCCTTCTACGTGGGTTTGTAATTTCCATCCCTGATAAAAGTATTTGAAAAACATCACATCTGCACTGATCACACACAGCTGTTCTCATTGTCCCCAGGTAACAACTATTTCCATAGCTCTGGTGCTTTATTGGACATTATAAATCATCTAAGGGGCTGGAGAAAGAAATAGCTCAGCCTTTAAGAGCACTGGCTGCTCTTCCAGAGGACCCAGGTTCAATTCCCAGCGCTCATGTGGTGGCTCACAACCACTTGTAAATCCGTGTCCAGGGGATTTGGGAGCCTCTTGGGCTTCTGTGGGCACCAGGCATGTAGCAGGTGGACACACATGCAGTAAAGCACACACAGAAAACTCTAACAAACAAACACCTAAGATGAGTGAAAACATGAAGGGTATGTAGCACAGCGTGCAGCATGCCCACAGCATGTGAGAAGCCCCAGGTCTCATCCCCGGCCTCAGTCAGTGAATTATGTAGGCGATGCACATGCATCTTGTGCAAAAACTCGATACCATTTTATCTAAGGGACTGGAATCTCCTTGAGTCTTGGCATCCATGAGCGGTTTTGCACCATCCCCTGGGGTCTGGAGGGATGCCTTCACTTATCCACCCTGCCCTGTCTGCTCCTCTGGGTCCCAGATGGATGGGGAGCACCTTGGGGCCTACCACACCCCCTGTCATTGTTGCCCCCTCGGGAACAGAGACTCCTGGGAGCCCTAGGAGCTGGGTGGACGTGGAGGCTGCAGGAGAGGCAGTGACCTGCCGCCTGCCACCTCCCACAAGTAGGGGCTCAGAGCTCTACCCCCAGTGACCTGTCAAGCTGTCGCTGGTGGTCTGTACTGAGTGGCTGCGAGAGGGGTTTTGCAAGCGGTCCTGGGGGTAGGGACGACGAACAGATGTTCAATCATATGAGAACAGTGAAGGAGGACAAGTGTGTGGGGCCCTGCAGCCGTCAGAACTACTTCTCCCTAGTATAAAGCACAGGAAAAAATGCAACCCAAACCTTCAAAATGGTTTTACCATAAACGAAACAGAAAGCCCAAACCTACCGCTGTATTCTTTCCCTAGTCTAGAGAAGAGTGGATAGGTTTCTAGAACGTGCCAGCTGCCGGAACCAAGTGTGTCTTGGCTGCAAGAGTGCGTCTAACCTTTGGTAAGGACAGGAAGTGAAAAGGGGGTGGTACCTGGGGGGATAGCACATTAGATTCTCTGAGCAGGTGCTGGCTTGTGACCTGGGCTGGCGTGACCTGCCCGGGCAGCGGAGTGTCCACCACGAGCTGGGGCTGAGACGCTGCAGTGGGCCTTTGCTGCAGCTGCTGCTGAGCGGCTGGTCGCTGGGCACTGCTGAAGCTCAGAGAAACAGCTGGCTGCTGCAGAAACATCTGGGAACAGAAGAGAGATGCCTGTGACCTAAGGGCCATGTGGGCTTCCCACGTGTCCCAGGGAGGAGGGAAAACGCCTGGAGTCCTTGACACACCTCGAGATTCCCCAGCCTAGCATTGGACAGCGTGGACCTCTGCTGCTGCCAGCATGGGCCAACACACTGGATGCAGTGGCTGGGTCAGAGAGACATTGCGTCTGCCTTCCTGAGGGTCACAGTTAAGTGACGTCAACCCAACAAGACAAACAGCCTTACACCTAGGCTATCTTTGCACAAGCTGATACACTTCTGAAGGTCAAGTTGGCTGGCGAGGGTCATATTAGGAGGGAGAACACCTCAGGAATGAAATGATCATTCACTTCATTGAATGAAAGGTGACTCAGCCTCCCAGGGAGGGAAATAAGAGCAGAGGATGACCTATCATGGCGTCCATGTGCTCTAGAGCCACGCTTGCTTCATAGTCATGCTTTCTTACAGAAGCCGTCTTAGACATTCAAGGCCGCCATACATTACCAGTTTAAGAAAACGCTTACGTGTTCGCGAGGATTCCGATTTAGTTTAAACAGTTTGCACCATGCAAAGTTGATCCTTGGATCTGTGAGTTTTCCATCTCTAGACTCACCCAACCTCAGACCAGAGCTGCTCGGTGAAAAGCTGCCTCTGTACTGGGTCAACTGGAGATCCTTTTGGTCACTATTTCCTGAGCAATACACTTACACAGCACTTACATTGTTGGAGATACACACACACACACACACACACACACACACACACACACACACTCCAGAGGGATTCAAAGCAGGGGTCCAACCTTTTAGCTTACCTGGGTCACACTTGACAAAAAAATTTGCCTTGGCCCACCTAAAGGAATCTAATGAGTGGTCTGTTATTTTGAGCAACAGAGGGACAGGACGTTGTCACTCAAAATGCTTTAAGTAAGTTTGTTGAGTTCATGTTGAGGGTGCACAGTGTGGGCTGTGGGCTGGACACGCTTGGTTTAAAGAACACAGGAGGATGTGGGCCTGTTTTGTGCAATTCCATGTTGTGTTCCAGGAGGGTCATAAATTCCATAGATGCTAGTTTCTCTGGGGATTCTGGAATCAGTCTCCTTGGACACTGAAGGCAACTGCATCTCATTTGAACGGTTGTTCAACTGCTTAAACTCCCTTTCCCTCTTAGGCTTCTACGTCTTCTGCGCTGAGCACCCAGGATGCCTGAAAGCTGCAGGTGTTTGAAATGTTCCATTGGTATTGGCTTTGGTAGTTAATGCAGACTGCTCACAGTTTGTTCAACATATAAACAAATTGGACAGAGATTAAAAAGAAAACACAAGTGAAAAGCAGTGCTGTTTCAAGACCTATTCGAGTTGTAAGGAAAAAAAATCCATAAATGCAGTCTAAATGCTGAGCCATCTTCTTGTCCCAAACCTGTTTTATTTGAGACAAAGTCTTATTATGTAGCCCTAGTTAGCCTAGGTTATATAGACCAGGCTGGCCTTGAACTTACAGAGCTCTGCCTACTTCCGCTTCCCAAATGCTGGGACTCCAGGTATGTGGCACTAAGCTTAGCAAGACGATTTCCTGGGTGCCCATCACCTCAGATTCAGTACTCACACACTCGAGGATTGGTGCTTTGTGCAATCCCAGCTGTCTCCTAGCATTAGCTTTGTGACTAGCTCATGGGCTAACCAGTCCCTCACAGCTTCAGCCCCAAATCGCATGATCAGGCCCAATCACTACACTCCTTTTGGCAGATGGCTTGCTGGAAGCCCAGGGTCCAATCAATGCAAGAAGATTTGCTGCAGCAGGAGTCATTGTTTGCCTCGAAGAAGACACACTGGAATGTCCCTCGGCTGAAAATGATCTTGGGTAATACCCGTAACATTCTCAAGGATTTGGTTTCCCCGTTCATATAATATGGGGAATGTAATATGTTCTATATAATATGGACTGGCTGGGTCCATATACTGCTGTGATAAAACACCATGACCAGAAGCAAGCCTTAATTCCCCTGCATGACCCTTTAGTCCTAAGCCTTAAACTGCTGTGCTTTCGTCTATGGGGACTCTCTTCACGGTGCCAAGCCTCAGCCTCTCTGCATGACCCCTTCAGTCCTGGGCCTTCAACTGCTACGGAGGCTGCGCCTTTGCCAGTGTCCTCTCCTGGCTTCTCACGGTGCCAGGCCTCAGCGGCTCTCCATGATGCCTTCATGCCTTCACCAGTACCACCTGGGTGACTGACACTACCAAGTTCAGCTCCGAGCATGAGGTACAACCACGGCTGCCTCAGGGGTGTGTGGCCCTCAGGAAACACTGCCCAGTGTTTCGCCTCCATGATGCCGGTCCTGTCTTAATCACCACTAACTTCCCAGCCCCAGCTGACCAGCATCCGCTGTCCCAGCAAAGCCAAGGTTTCGCTCTGGTGGCTCTGGCCTCTTCTCCAGCTGACTGGACACCACAGATTCTCCACACAGTGGTCCTGTAGAGTCTTTGCTTCCCTCTGGGACCTCGCGAGCCCAGACTTCCAGCCTCTGCATGTCTCCCAACACATGCAGCATCTCCGAAGCTCCCACAGAACAGCCCACCAAGCTGTGAACACTCAATGACTTTTCTAACCCAAAGTTTCAAAGTTTTTCCACAATCCTTCCAAACACACATGGCCAGGTCTGTCACTGCAAGACCCCACTTTCCTGGTGCTGATTTCTGTCTTAGTCGGGGTTAATATTGCTGTGATGAAACACCACAACCAAAAGCAAATCAGAGAAAAGGGTTTATCTGGTTTATGCCTCCACAGCACTGTTCATCACTGAAGGACGTCAGAGCAGGAACTCAAGCAGGGCAGGAACCTGGGGCAGGAGCTGATTCAGAGGCTACAAAGGGTGCTGCTTACTTGCTTGCTCATTCTGCTTTTTCACAGAACCCAGGGCCACCAGCCCAGGACTGGCCCTAGTTACAATGACCCAAGCCCTCCCCCATCAAGTCACTAATTAAGAAAGGCTTGCCTGCAGCCTGATTGTATGGA